CCCTCTGTGAACTGCACAAATTTGACCTTATAAGACGTTCCTTTTTGGAAAATGAAATATTTTAAATGAATGTAATTTTGTTGTGTATCAAGTTTTTTTTTTTTTTTTCTCGAGGGCCCTTTATGACCACTAGGTGGCAGAGAAGACTCATATCATATGTTTAGAAATGTAGTTTCAAGTGAAGCTATATTGAACATATTACTTCATTTTTCATTTTTGTTTAAAAGCTGTTTATTTCCATTTTAAGCAGAAAACATTTTTAAAAGTTCTTATCTAAACTACTTTTATATAGAAAACATAAAAATGCCATATAAATAAAATGCCCATTAAATGAGAACGAGAGACAATTGGCAAACCAGCATTCAAATATAGTTCAGTGAACAATTTCAGTACTTAAAAGTAAATTATTATCCTCATGCCTAAATCTCTGGTCAACTGGGGGTTTAGCCTTGCCATAGAGGCCTTATAATTATATACGGAATATATAATTTAGGCTCTTAGTGAATTTGCTTTTGTTATCAGAAAACACTTCCAATCCATTTGTATGGAAGTAACCTGTGATGCACAAATGGTTTTGACCAAATTATTTCTGAAGTGGCTATGGTCAACTCCAGACCAGAGAAAAGCATTGCTGCACACAATAACAGTATATAATATAATACAGTATATTGGAATACAGAACATGAATGCTAAAACATGTTGCCGTACAGCTGACACACAATGACCTTAAACGAATAGGTCACTAGAATAAACAAATAAATAAATAAATAATTCACCTGCAAATTTACTCACCCTCAGGGCATCCAAGGTGTCAATGAGTTTGTTTGTTTATCAGAACAGATTTGGAGAAATTTAGCATTCCGTCACTTTCTCACCAATAGATCCTCTGCAGTGAATGGGTGCCGTCAGTCCAAACAGCTGATAAATACACTTCACAAGACATTAACTGATGGGCTGGAGTTGTGTGGATTTCTTGTGGATTATTGTGATGTTTTTTATCAACTGTTTGGACTCTCATTCTGATGGCACCCATTCACTGTGCAGCATCCATTGGTGAACAAGTGATGTAATGCTACATTTCTCTAAATCTGTTCCGACGAAGAAACAAACTCACCCACATCTTAATGGCCTTTTCAGCTAATTTTCATGTTTGGTGAACTATTCTTAAACCATGGCCTTGTCAACATAGTTTTTAATGTCATGGAAATCCAAATGGATATTATAATATTGAATGCGAAGAAAAAGGTAAGTCATGGTGCAATATTTGTCTCAGTTTTTTTGTTTGGCACACACATTATGTGCAGGCTGTGCTGTCTCCCTCTGTGTTGCATACACAACATTGACAGCCTGTAAAATCTTTTATATATTGTCACTGCTTCATCAATCAACAACCATAAGATCTGATCATTTTTGCTCCTCTCACTGAAGTAGCAGTGCTGACAGCAGCTGTAACTTGCTGCCACTCAGTATATTCTTATTTTAGTGATGACACTCACAGACACCCCAATTATTAAAATTTTTTTGGCTTCTACTTTTAAATCTCTATTTATATGGCAATATTTCAATGCATATAATATCATATTTAAATATATATATTAGTGGTGTGAAAGTTGACTGGTGACATTGCCTAAGGTCTTCAATAATATGACAATTGTCAATCCTGACCAGATTATGTCATGTCGCCATTTGAAAATCGCTCAGGAAATGCAACTCATTTGTACAGCAGGCTGCATTTTAACACTGAATAACTGAAGGGTACAGCACAGGCTTGACTTACCACCAAGACTTAGTTGACCATTTTCTCTTAATCACAGTCTTTGTGCCAGACACGTTGTACCTGTAGTTCAAGTTAAGCGTTAAACTCAGACAAGACAATCAAAGACCTGAGCTCACCAGTCCCCAATAATTGAGCAGCTCTAATGCATGAACTTCTGATGTGTTTCTATGGCAACCATCCAATCGGAGAGAGGGTGAGAATGAGCTTTGCTCGGGGTCTGTATCCTGTAGCCTACTGATTAGCCTAATATCACAGACCAACTCATGTCACAATGCATATGTGAGACAGTAATTGGTTGCTCCAATTTACCACCAAGACTTAGTTGACCATTTTCTCTTAATCACAGTCTTTGTGCCAGACACGTTGTACCTGTAGTTCAAGTTAAGCGTTAAACTCAGACAAGACAATCAAAGACCTGAGCTCACCAGTCCCCAATAATTGAGCAGCTCTAATGCATGAACTTCTGATGTGTTTCTATGGCAACCATCCAATCGGAGAGGGTGAGAATGAGCTTTGCTCGGGGTCTGTATCCTGTAGCCTACTGATTAGCCTAATATCACAGACCAACTCATGTCACAATGCATATGTGAGACAGTAATTGGTTGCTCCAACTCAGTCTGATGGAAACTTACACTGAAAATGGTTCTTTCTTATAGGTCAAATAACCATAGAAAATATAATCAAAGATTTACCTGATAGATGTAATGTTACTTGACTTAATATTCTAAAAATGTAAGCTTTCAGGAACATAATAGGTTAATGGACCGTGATACAGCTTTTATATGTATACTCAGATTTTTTTGTACTCAGGATCAATGCATCGTTTTTTTTTAGTTCAAATGAATCTACAATGAGAAAGAAATGGTTTCCTGGTTTAGACTTATTCCCCAATTGTCCTAGGATTCACATGTGCATGAGTTATTAATATGCTTGCACTGTGCAAATTTACTCACCCTCAGGGCATCCAAGGTGTCAATGAGTTTGTTTGTTTATCAGAACAGATTTGGAGAAATTTAGCATTCCGTCACTTTCTCACCAATAGATCCTCTGCAGTGAATGGGTGCCGTCAGTCCAAACAGCTGATAAATACACTTCACAAGACATTAACTGATGGGCTGGAGTTGTGTGGATTTCTTGTGGATTATTGTGATGTTTTTTATCAACTGTTTGGACTCTCATTCTGATGGCACCCATTCACTGTGCAGCATCCATTGGTGAACAAGTGATGTAATGCTACATTTCTCTAAATCTGTTCCGACGAAGAAACAAACTCACCCACATCTTAATGGCCTTTTCAGCTAATTTTCATGTTTGGTGAACTATTCTTAAACCATGGCCTTGTCAACATAGTTTTTAATGTCATGGAAATCCAAATGGATATTATAATATTGAATGCGAAGAAAAAGGTAAGTCATGGTGCAATATTTGTCTCAGTTTTTTTGTTTGGCACACACATTATGTGCAGGCTGTGCTGTCTCCCTCTGTGTTGCATACACAACATTGACAGCCTGTAAAATCTTTTATATATTGTCACTGCTTCATCAATCAACAACCATAAGATCTGATCATTTTTGCTCCTCTCACTGAAGTAGCAGTGCTGACAGCAGCTGTAACTTGCTGCCACTCAGTATATTCTTATTTTAGTGATGACACTCACAGACACCCCAATTATTAAAATTTTTTTGGCTTCTACTTTTAAATCTCTATTTATATGGCAATATTTCAATGCATATAATATCATATTTAAATATATATATTAGTGGTGTGAAAGTTGACTGGTGACATTGCCTAAGGTCTTCAATAATATGACAATTGTCAATCCTGACCAGATTATGTCATGTCGCCATTTGAAAATCGCTCAGGAAATGCAACTCATTTGTACAGCAGGCTGCATTTTAACACTGAATAACTGAAGGGTACAGCACAGGCTTGACTTACCACCAAGACTTAGTTGACCATTTTCTCTTAATCACAGTCTTTGTGCCAGACACGTTGTACCTGTAGTTCAAGTTAAGCGTTAAACTCAGACAAGACAATCAAAGACCTGAGCTCACCAGTCCCCAATAATTGAGCAGCTCTAATGCATGAACTTCTGATGTGTTTCTATGGCAACCATCCAATCGGAGAGAGGGTGAGAATGAGCTTTGCTCGGGGTCTGTATCCTGTAGCCTACTGATTAGCCTAATATCACAGACCAACTCATGTCACAATGCATATGTGAGACAGTAATTGGTTGCTCCAATTCAGTCTGATGGAAACTTACACTGAAAATGGTTCTTTCTTATAGGTCAAATAACCATAGAAAATATAATCAAAGATTTACCTGATAGATGTAATGTTACTTGACTTAATATTCTAAAAATGTAAGCTTTCAGGAACATAATAGGTTAATGGACCGTGATACAGCTTTTATATGTATACTCAGATTTTTTTGTACTCAGGATCAATGCATCGTTTTTTTTTAGTTCAAATGAATCTACAATGAGAAAGAAATGGTTTCCTGGTTTAGACCCATTCCCCATTGTCCTAGGATTCACATGTGCATGAGTTATTAATATGCTTGCACTGTTGGTTTTGTTGCATGTTTTGTTGTTGGCTTGTTATGTCAGGATGAGTTTGTTCCTATACTTAAAATGATCAGTTAGTTCATTGTGTGTTTTCTTGCTGATGTTGCATGTGATGTTTTTTTTAATTATTTAAATGTAGAACGAACAAGAACATTTACCTAGAAATATGCATAAGGTGGTGAATACAATGTTTTCAGTTATGATGGTAGCACCAAAAGAAATGAATAGAAAAAAGAAAAGAAAAAATATCCAAATGTATACATTTGTTTTGCCTTTTTATTTATTTATTTAGTATCTTTCAGCCTCAAAATATATTTCACTAGTTAATTTTTTAACAGTAGCTGTTGTATGTGATGTTAATCATTTGCAACGATAGCAGATTTCAGACTTTTTGCAGATATGTTTTGCATTAGGCCTTTTTTGCAATATTATTGAATCGTTTCAATTGCTATAATATTCATATTCTAGTTATATTACAAAATTACATTGAGTTAATTAAAGTAGTTTATGGATAATTAGGTTTTTCCTATGGGATAATACAGAGAGGAAATGATCGAGGAGCGCTCGTTACACCTGTAGGCTGAAAGGGGCGTGGCTTCCCGCACACATTTATACTTGCAAGGGGCTTCACGTTCAGGTGACAGACGCGATTCATACATTCCCAGAACAGCCAAAAACTTCAGTTATGAATGAAAATGCTTGCGTAACTATCCTCAAAGAGTTTATTTAGAAGAAAGAACCACCAGAGCTTTACAAAGAGCCCTTCTCCAAATGCCGTCCGCTGCGCGAATGGGAGAAGAGGAGGGAATGGGATTTATTTGTAAGCTGGAGTCTAGTTCTTCTGTCGGGGTTGAGTGAATTGATATACTTTGAGTGAATTGATGTATTAATTTGAACAACGGAGGGACGGCAGAAGACAGCTCGGGGCAGAATAAGAAGAGCGCGGGAGTGACTGTCACTGGATGCTGTATGAGGTGTCGCTCCAGCGGGCGCTTCGTGAGGGGCGATGGAGATGCTGATGGACTGGAGACCTCCCACATTTCTGCTTCTCACCTTGCTGTGCTTGTTTCCAGGTAAGATAAATAAGAAAAGAAATATCATATGTTGTTGATGCGGTGTTGAGCGAACTCTGACCAAGTTAAAAGGGACTGTACACTCTAAAAAATGCTGTATATGCAAATATGGACTAACCCAACTTTTGGGTTAAAAATTTAAGGTAAAAATTTAACCCAACGGTCGGGTTAGTCCATATTTGACCCAAAGTTGGTTTGAAACAACCCAGTATTTTTTAGAGTGTATCATTAGTAAAGTCTCAAATCAACCTGTTTTGTTTTTCTTAGGTGAGACATTTATCTTATACAATAAGACAACCGTTTAAAATTGTAGTTGAATGTGTAAACATGGCTGCAATGTGTAAACATTCAACTAAAGTTGATGTAGAGATTCATAAGCAAATAAAAACACATGTAGGTGTCCTCATATACAAAAAATATTTTTTGTAGTCATGAAATATTTTAGAAACTGAGATTTCCTTCTTACCAACAGATAGCCTATATTTTATCCTGGTGTACACAGCCATGTTGTTGTTAGCTTAATGGGAAGTCATCACATTAACCCTTAACGACTTGAATCCTGATTTTTCCTTATAGTAAATCAGGTGGTAAAATGAAGATTGTTGGTACCAACTGCAGCCAACAACTGAAAGTAGTGACAGTGAATTATGGCGCAGTGATATGACCATTGTCCTGACTAATTTCCAGCAAGGCTCAAGTCAGAGGAGCTTGTAATCCGCTGAATTACCCTGACATTTTTACAAGCAAGGACAAGGTACGAATTCACTCTCAGTGCTGGCCGACAAGATTAAACCGTGTCATTGTGTTGCAGATTTTTCTTCCTTGAGCTAAAAAACCCACAATACATGGACAAGGTTGAATATAATAAAATTGCATTCACATGCCCTCGTAACCTCTTGGATGTTTCGAAATGTAGTGAGCCTTATTAAACTGGTATTGGTTGCTTTGTCAGGGTTTTGGTCTGTGTTTCCAACATGGCAAATTGCTGATGTGGTAGTGTTTTCTGTACCTCCAGGGAGGCACCATTATCGCATTATATGGAGAGTGTGCCTTATAATGGGGAAACTGCCAGATGACTGCTGTAGCCTGCAAATATTAAGCTGTTTTGTTTGACCTGTCTTGAGTGACCCTGAAAGGAAATTGCCACCATATATGCTGCCTTGCAAAATTACTACATTGCACAGTTACTTTTTTTTTGTGGTAGCCTGTAGAATATTATGCTTGATTTTGAAATGATTTCATTTTTCGAGAAACATTTCACCTATATGAAAATGAATTAATCATTTATTCACCCATAAGACTATGATAAATCTTTGAAACACAAATTAAGATATTTTTAAAGAATCCTGAGAGATTTCGGTCCCTCCAGTGAAAGTTAAGGTCAGGTACTTAGGTAAGACCCAACGAGGTTATAAAGGTCTTGTAAAATTAATTCATATGAATTAAGTGGTTTAATTTACGTAATGTGAAGCGATGTGATTTCTTTATATAATTTACAGATTTCACTTTTATTCACATAAACACACAGATAGAACACAATCACATACAGTTTGGTAAACATGGAAGATCCATCACATACTAAACCAACCTCATTGGTTTGCATGCATCATGCACCCACGTTTGAGCTTCCATGTTTACCATATTTGAGGTGCTCTATGCATGTGTGTCAATAATTTTTTAGATGTAAACAATAGCCTAAATTAAATCTGTTTATCATATAAAGCAATCGTAAATCACGGTCACAGGTCGTGGTGCGGAGGAAGCACACGGAGAGGAAGGAATCCACGATAAGAGTCTTTAATTATCAAAACGAACATAACACTTGGAAACCACAACACAACTTTAACGCAAGACAAGGGAACTGGGTAAAACACAGGGCGTATAAACATTTGGAACGTAATCAGGGAGAACAGAAATAGGTGAGGAGTAATCAAAACAGGTAAACAGAATAAACGATGATTAACTAAATGAGAACAGGCACTGAACCAAATAGGGGCAAACATGTGACAGATATCGCCCCCCCCCCCTCCGCAAGGCGCAACATAACATCGATTGCCTTGGAGGTCCCTCAGGACAGGTTTGGACAGGACGCCTCCAAGGCAGTACCGGATCAGGGTCCCATGGTGGGGTGGGCAGCTCGGGGAGCCATGGCGGAGCTGGTAGCTCAGGAAACCATGGCGGATCCTCCGTGGCCTTAGCCAGCTCGGCCATGGGTATATGCCCCCCCAATTTTCTTGGGGAAAACTTGGAATCCTGGGGGGCGCTCTGGAGGTGCGGGCACTAGAGGGCGCTCTGGACGGGATTCAGGGACTGGAGCCTTCCTTGGGCTAACCTCGGGCACAGGAGCCCTCCGTGGGCTATGCTCGGGAGCTGGAGCCCTCCGTGGGCTATGCTCGGGAGCTGGAGCCCTCCGTGGGCTGGATTTGGCACTGGAGCCCACTCTGGGCTGGATTCTGCACTGGAGGGTGCTCTGGAGGAGCAGGCACAGCAAGGCGCTTCGAGGAGCTGGCACTGGAGAGTGCTCTGGAGGAGCAGGCACAGCAAGGCGCTTTCGAGGAGCTGGCACTGGAGGGTGCTCTGGAGGAGCAGGCACAGCAAGGCGCTTTCGAGGAGCCGACACTGGAGCGCGCCTAGGGACCAGAACCAACTCCTCCTCAAATCTCCTCCTCCTTAGATTCCCCTCTAGGCTCGGGGTAGGCAGGCGGGCCTATCTTCGGAGTGGCCGGCAGGCTGGAGTGAGCTGTGGCCAGTGGGCTCGTCTTCGGAGCGGTGAAACGTGCGGCGGCTTCCATGCCGCGGGGAAAAAAAAACGGGAAAACAAACATGGGGAAAGGACGCTGCTTACTTTCAGTTTTTTGTGGTCTTGCATTCTGTCACGGGTCGTGGTGCAGAGGAAGCACACGGAGAGGAAGGAATCCACGATAGCATCTTTAATTATCGAAACAAGAACAAAACACTTGGAAACTGAGGGAGACCACAACCCCGATACAACTTTAACGCAAGACAAAGGAATTGAGGAAAACACAGGGCTTATAAACATATGGAACGTAATCAGGGAGAAAAGAAACAGGTGAGGAGTAATCAATCAAAACGGGTGAATAGAATAAATTATGATTAACTAAATGAGAACAGGAACTGAACCAAATAGGGGCAAACAGGAACTAAACAGAAACAAACATGTGACAATCATAAGACTTTAAGTAAACCAATGGATTAATTAAAAAATGTTTACAACAAATTTATGACCTTTATGGATCTTTAAGTTTTAGTTTCCTGGGACCTAATTTATCAACAGTGCGTAGAAAAGGTTCTATATTTTGTCCTTATATTTACACACATTTACATATAAGTACAAGTTGGTAGATCGCACACGTTGTGTGAAACTGTGCTTACACACTCATTACGCACACGTCTGTGCGTACGCACTGTTGATAAATTAGGGCCCTGGACTTTAAATGGAGGGACAGAAATCACTCAGATTTAATTAAAATACTGTATATATAAATATAAATTTGTGTTTCAGAGATTAACTTTAAGTCTTAAGGGTTTGAAATGACATGAAGGTAAGTAAATGATGAGAGAATTTTCATTACCTTTAAATCCTGAAGGTGGTCTGAAGGTTACATTCTGTATGTAGACTGTAAATTTAGGCACAACCCCTTATTTATTATTAACAGTGAAACATCAGTTTTGGCTTATTAATGCCTGCTGTGAACTAAAATCGTCTGAAAATGAAAATGCCCAGGATTTAAATGCCATTTATCAAGCGCTTTTTAATTCATACCAGCGTAAATACACTCCATACCAATTTAAAGGAAAAGCCCCACAGGAGATGGCTTAAGTCCCTTGATCAAGTATTTAGTTGTGGTCAGTATGACTCTGGGCTACATCTACTTGTGATACTACAACCTTTGTGAAAATAACATAGATATTTTCCTAGACTGTACAAGGTCAATTGTAATTGTACTTTAGAAAAGATAGTTTGAAATAAGTCTAACATTTAGTACTCTGCAAAATTGAATATTTTAACCATTAATATATAATATAATATAATATAAAATGGGTAGATTACTTACAAATTATAGTTAGGAAATTATAAAGGAAAATTTAGAAAGTTTTAGAAGTTTAGAAGTTAGAAATTCTAAAAAATAAGAATTAGGGAGAATCAATAAATTATGTATAATTTACTGTCATCATGTGAACAATATGTAATTATGTAATCCATAAAAAAGTAACTGTAATCTGATTATGAACATTTAACAATTTAATTTACTCTAATTACAAGTACTAAATTTTTGGAATCTGATTACATAACCCAGATTAAATGTAATCCGTTATTACCCAGCCATAAATATAATATAATATATAATACTAACTTTGTTAAAAACACAAGTGTTAAAGAAAGAGCCACATGATGAATCAAAGCTCAGAAGACGTTTTTCCACAAGCTGAGGTAAACAAGACTTTTTTAACATCCAACAACTTTAACTTTCACAGTAATTTACTGTAAAATTACATGAAATGTCCCATTAGGTTTATTACAGTTTTTCATAGAATAATGAAACCTACTATTAACCAATTAACAGGTTTTATACCATAGCATTTTTTACAGTTTTTATATTTTTTAAAACACAGATTATAGTGCAATATAGTAATTTCTGACTAGTAGTCAGCGCTATTCGCTTAACCTGCTGAACATGATGTTAAAATGCGGTTTAGGGGCAAGATTGGTCCTGGAGGCACATAATCCCCGTTACCCTGGATAGTCTGAGGGGGCTGACAGAAATTTGACCTGGATTTAGGCAGGCCAGACCTGGTCGAGCGAGGCTAATAAGGGCCTAAAGGATCCAATCCGGGCCAGCCACCTCAGAATACACCAGGAGCAGCTGTTGCACCTTGCAGATTAACACCGCTGATTGTTTTAAGCTTTCATCTGCCTTCCCCCCTTGCTCTCACTCTCTCTGATCTGCGACGGAGTCGTCCGTTCACTTCTCTCTTAT